TATGCAACCTCCTCAGTACTTACATCACTACCGAATAGAAGACACCAAGCACATCTGAGCGAGTCCCCTACACACCAAGGCAATGGAAGACAAGTTGGCATTTCTTTTTCCCCCATTTTTTTAAATTCCCTGACAACACTTCCTTCACAAGAATGGTTCTCAAAATTAGAACATGGAAAACATATTAAAAATAGATACAAAGAATAATCAGTACCTCAAACAAAGCAAAGTTTTAATGAGCTGAAGATGGGAAAACACTATTCCACTGAAACTTGAAGGAAAAACTCATACAGTCATATAGGCTGTATGACAAATGCACAGTCCACTGATAAAAGCATGACTTATTTTGCTCTAGGACAGGAATCTTCAGACAATCCTTAGAAAGAAAAGATAATGTATGATGATACTATGTTATCATTGTCAGCGTTACCAAGACAGCCTTAGAAAAACTTGTTTGACACGAAGTTGCCTACAAAACTTACCATTAAGAGTTTATAATTTGTAACTGTTGCAGTTGTTTTAATATAATTAGTCACACGATTTCTTCTTGGTGCCTAGAAACCTCTTGTTTTCAAGTGTCTTTAGATTGTAAGGAAAAATGTCACTAACATAAAAAATTCTGAAATGTGTAAGGATAAAGAATACAACAGCCACCTATGGAATTTAGTACAGGACCAGTTAGTGTTTATAAACATTACTTTAAGTACATACACTAACTACTGCTGGTATCCAGCTCCACAGAACCCTTGAACCAACCAAGTGAAACACAGGAAAGCATTATGCCAGTGCTCCAAATCAGAACTCATCTAGAAATGGGTTCCATTACTTACCTCTCACACAACACTTTGGGGGTAACTCCAACACACAGACAGCACCTCCCTGCCTCCACCGTTCAGCCCCCGCCGCTCTGTCTGCTCAGTGGGAGTCACACCAAGCGCCAGCTTCCGTTTCATCTCCCACAAACATAGCAGTGTTTATAGTAGTTTTCATTTTAAATAAACTATAGCTTTTTACAGGTCAGACTTCTACGTCCACCCATCGCTGATTTCAGATGCACAAAGAATCTGAAGGTAGAGCTTCGAATATGCTTTGAAAGTTACTGACTGCAATCAAAAAGAATTGTGAGATGGGGTACAGGATGATGCTGAAAATACCACCATGATGGAAAGCAGAAGGAAACTCTGGCATTGATCAGAAATTCATCAATAAGTACAACTCTCACAACATAGCTCACCACAAGAAGAATGTGTCTGAAAAAATTATTGATTATCATCGAGTTTTAAACATATTACACTGTGTAAAGAGTGGTCAAATACCGGAACAAGCCAAAAGGAAAAAGTAACACCCATGTTCCTGTATCACTGCTGATCACCAGGGCTACCTCAAGACATATTGAAGGAGGGCAGCACAGGGGGCCCAGGGGCAGGGGTCATCTCCATCTCAATCTGGGGCCCAAAGTAGCTCAGCTCTGAGCTAATACCAACTACCACCATACAACATGCAACTTTCAGCATAACAGTATAAATGAGAGATACAACATAAATTAAAAGCAATCTGAAAAGTTTACGGTCTTTTGTTATTGCTGAAATAAAAGCATAAAGACTGTAATTCTACACAGAAATCTCTTACTGATTAGCACAGAAACATAAATTTTGAATACAAACACCTCTGAAAACAAATTTCCATAAGGAAAACTCCAAACAACCCACTGTGCAATAATTTTATTTGACACAACCCCTTCTACATTGTTACAATGTTCCATAAAAGTAGATTGAGTTGTCAACATCCCAGCCCATGCCCTGAAAGCTCTGATGTAAGAGGTTAACTGTCAGCACACCAGTGGGTGCTTTCAAGTCAATGAGACTACCCACAAAGTTTCAGTTGTTCGTATGTTTTTACAGGAACCCAGGGCAGGAGACCAACGCAACACACAAACACAGAATATAGGTGCTGAAGCACAACAGAAAACAAACTAAGAAAATGAAAAGAAAGACACTCAATCCTATGTGGGAAAGAACAAGAGAAACAGGTTGTTGGAATTGCTCTGAGATATTGGAATGAACTTCTAGAGAAAAACAGGTCTCTGGTACATGAGAAAAATTAGAAGAATGTTTACTTTGTTTGTTTGTTTATTTTTAAATTTACTTACTTGCACCTCAAAAACCCAGATGAAGCAAAGTCAATCCCACTTGAATTTCCTGCCTTTTGTCAAGAAGCACTGCCATTTGTGTATAAATTTTACTATTTATAATCATAATAAAAATAATTTCAAAGCTATCATTTAGAGGGTAATCCTTTAAATTTGTGCCCAAAGTACTACTTTGACATAATGGTGTCGTGCATCTATAGAAGATTTCTGCCAGTTTGTACCCAAGCTAACATTCAGAAATATACAACAAATACGGCAAGGATTCTGCCAAGAAGTTGAGAATTTTTGTATTTATATATGAACAAGATTTTTGTTTGTTTTCTTATTAAGTGCCTTTGAAATCTGTATTCAACCACATTATAGCTTTACAGGAAGAGATAACCCCAACGAAGTTAAGTAGCAGAACCTACCTGAGAACAAAGATTGGGAGCTTAGGTGCACTTCCTATGTATCCCATAACAAAGCAAGCAAGTCAACGTTTCCCTTAAGTTTCCAGATTGAATCAAAAAGGCAGGTGCAAACAACATATATTTTTAACTAAGAGTGTACTTTAAATTATGCTCACTTTTGGAGTCTTTAACAACTCTGCTAAAAAAATATTTTGCACCTCTTCGTTATGGCACACAACAGGTTTAGAAGTACAGTGAGGTTACAAACCCTGCAATGGTCACAGCACAGCCTGGCCCTTGCACCAATGCAGAAGTACAAAAACCACACAACGGAGGCTCAAAATGCAATAAAATTTCCAACTTCTGTCCAGCCAGAAATACATTTAGAAGGACAGCAAATACAGCAAAAATAGTTAATGAAAGCTACCACTGCCTGAGAGGAACGCACAGCTTTATAGGGCTGACATGAAGACCAAGGCTTCTAGGTGCCATCATGCAGCAAGGGACAACATGTTAAGCATCCTATTCTTCCCAGTGAATACTAATTCTCTACTCTCTTTTCAAGAGGACTCAAGTCATCTTTAATAAATTTCAATGATTGGTGGTTTTTTGCTAGTTCTTAACCAAGGGTTTTTGCTTTCACTGCTGGTAGAACTGACCCACAGATGGGTAACAGTAATAATGATGATTTTGAGAGTGACATTACCTTTCTGTAAGAAAAGCACAGAGCAGATTTACCTGCTAACAAACTCTTATCAACAGCTTCCTGAAAGCGAAACAGAAACACACTTGCAAGTCAGGTGGGTCACATCCTAGTATCAAGTATTTAAATCCCTTCCTAAGATTCGAAGCAGTTAACACCTTGAAGTTTTTTTATGCCAGCTGAATTATCATCATCAATAGTAGTGGGGCACTGAACACAGCCTTAAAGATTATGAAAGTGGACCTTGCAAGTTATGTTCCATTAAAACACTATTATAAGAGAACTCCAAGTACCCCAGTGCACACCTAACAACCCATACAGGTCCAAGTAGAGATGCCTTTGCAATGCAAACCTAAACAATTACTCCGCTTTTGCAGGTCTTTACAAGTTTTAACAGCCTGAAACAAATCCAAGTTTCCAGAAAGGCGAGGATTCCTGCAGAGTGCTGCGACAGCACTTTGAGCATCTCAACCTCCCTACCCCAGGCCAAGGGGCTCTGACAAAGCCCCCAGCACCACAGGGTCAGTGTGCAGGGGAGCAGGAACACCGCCTTCACCTGTGCGAGTCGCATGCATACGCACACACGTGAACAAGAGTGAGACGCAGACAGTTCTGATCGTCTTCTAGGGATAACACTGTGCAAAGTTGGAAACAAGCTCTCTGGTAAAACAGACTTATGGCTGTTCCACGCCTAACGCCAGGTTTTCACCAGCTCACATTAGAGAACCTCCAAAACAAAGTTACCTGCAACTTCATTTAAGAAAACAAATTACAAAGAAACCACCACCGCCAACAACACAGGAATTCCAACCTGCAGTACGTGCAAACAAACCCCTGCTTCTGTCAGGAACACAGCTGCAGCCCCACACCTCGCACTGCAGGCTCCCGCCCCGACCCACCGCCCCGCGCCCCCCCGTGCCGGACCGAGCACACCGTGCACGGAGGCAAATTCTTGCAGGGGATCGCTCCGTTTCAAGTTTGTTTTACCAACACGTCTGCGGGAATACCAGAACCTGTTTACACATCACCTTAACCGCCACCAGGAGGAGAGCGTAAAAGGCGCACACACGCAAAAAAAAAGAAAAAAAGAAAAAAAAAGAAAAAAAAAATGTAATTTGTAAAAGGAAGCAGGCCGACGGTATCCCCGGCTCACCCCGTTTCTCACCCGGGGACTCGCTGGAGGCCCGGCGGCGCAGGCCGCGAGGCCGCCCCGGCTGCACGGCGCCGCCCGGCAGCGGGGCCCGGCGGCACCCGGCGGCAGGCGGCACAGG